ATATATATATATATATACACACATATATACACACACAGCTATAGATGCATATATAGATACCTAAATATATTCCCCCTATAATTCACAAAGCAATTTCTTATAGAAAGTATTTCAGAGTCCTGAGCATGTCATTCAAGAATTTTAATAAATTGACTGTTAACAACTTCTCAACTTTTATTCAATAACCCAGAGTATACCCTGTATGCAGATTAGACTATATTACCTGCTGATTTACAGTATTGCAGCAGGCACATTCCCATTTTCATTGTAATTGCTTAATGATGGGGTCTAGGTTAACTCAGATGCTGGGAATGGAAGAATCCACAGGGAATCCACAGAGACGGAGAGGTTAGAAGTGAAGCTCAGTTTTATTGAAAGTCCTTGTCAAGAAAGGATAGGCAGAAGTCAGACTGACTGCAGAAGTCAGGGATTGTTTGTGAGGGTCAGCGGCTGTCTCATTGTGACAGGAACTAGAATCTAGCTTTTATATTTGAGTTTCCTTTGCTTTCTGGTTTCTTTTTGCTCACTTAGCAAGTGTTGGGTTAGCAAATGCTGGGTACATCCTGTTCTCTGCAGGTAATTAGAGTGTTTATGGGGGCAACTAGCTCCTAGGAAATACTCCTGGTACTTGGGATGCTGAAGGTGGTGGTGGTGCTGATGGGGGTGCTGGCGGGGGCAACTAGGCCACCGCCCAGTTTAATTTAATTCAATTTAATTTAATACAGTTTAAATTTAACTTCATCATTTCCATTGTCCCCTCTGCTTAGAATATCTTTTCTCTTAATCTCTTTTAATAGTTCTGTGCATAGCTCAAAGCCTAGTACAAGTATCTTATCTCCAGCAAAAATTTCCATCATTGGAAATCTAAAGGTTCCTCACCCCTAATGTCTTACTCCTATCACATTTTCTCTTAGGTATGTCCCTGTCCATGGTTTTTCTTTCTTTACCTATATTTTATAGTCAGTTGGTTTAGGGTTATGATACTGTAAATAGTTACAATTTTTTTCAAAGAGTCATATATGTAGAAGGAAATAAGAAAATATTTACTCAGTTCACTTATTATAGGGAGATCACATATGATCACATATATACAATGTTTTATCATCACAAGGGTTGAAGATAATGTCTGTCAGTTACTAGATGTATAATCTTGAAGAAAATCCATAAATTCTGAAACTCTGGTTTATAGTCATAAAATTTATACACACACATACATGTATATATACACGTGTATATTATACACATGTGTGTATATATACATGTATATACACATATACATGTAAGCCCCACTTACAATTGCATTATAAATATTAGATATTAATTTTAAGAATAAGAAACATAAAACTGTGGCTGTGACTGCCATAAGAAATGATTCCTTGGATATAGGCAAAAATACTAGAAGCAGGAAGAAATTTGTATTTCTATGGTTATTGTTGTTCCATTTCTTTGGGGGGAAGGTAAACTTCTTGCAGTCTCAGAGCACAGCTTCAGAGCTTCTGAATAGTATAAGGCTTAAATATGGAGGCGTTCAGCACACTCCTAGAGAATCTTTTTTTTTCATTTATCACAAAACCAAAATACAATTAAAATGAAGTGGAAATATTTTTTAAAACTCTGTGATACACATCACTGATTGTATTGTACCTCCCCAGAAGTATCAGGGTGCAAATCAAGCAACAGAAACAAAGGGACCCTCCCCTAAACCACCTATATAGCTTCACCTGATCACCAAACTCCACTCCTCATTCCCAGAAGCTAGTCCAAGGTGTCTGCAAATACTAGGGTCAGGGAAGATGGTACCTCCCCTACACAAAGGGTGGTTGAAGTTATGAAAATATAATCAATTTTCTAATGAAATGATTAGATTTTATATCATAAAGAAATGTGCTGAGAATTATGTTATAATATATTGGTAGTAGAACTGTAGATTGGGAGGCCTCCCTGGTGGCGTGTGGGATTAAGATGCAACCTATGAAGCTTTCCACAGAATATATTGATAATAGATGTATAGATTGGGAGGCCTCCCTGGTGGCACAAGGGGTTAAGACACAACCTATGAAGGTGTCCACAGCCTCTGCAGCACGAGTTCAATCCCTGGCCTGCCAGGGAGCAACCCATATGGCACAGCAGACCTCTCCTGACTCACCCGCTGCTCCCCTCAGCAGTGTATTTCAGTAGAACTGCCTGTTCTGTTCCCCACTCTGTCTCTGGTGAATCCTCTCACCCCCCTGCTCCTCTGGCCTATACCCCAGCTCTTGTATGCATAAATAAATAAATCTTAAAAAAAAAGTATAGATTGGAATAATAATGGAAGGTAATTTTTAGCACTTTTCAAAATTCATGTGTTAACTTCACTCTGGGAGTGAATTATTTTCACTCCTAGAAAAAATTATGTCAACAATATTCAGAAAAATATATTTGTAGCCAAATATCCAGTTGTAAGATATATGAAAATGCATGCATAAAGGATTTTAATATGTATAGACACAGTAAGAGCTTCAAAGGTGTTCAAACTAGTTCCAGAACACATCTATGTGAGGATCTTTTTTTTTTTTAATGTATGGAAAAAACATGTATTAGGAGGTAAAAATATACTATTTTTAATTGCAGTAAAATCTGATAAAATGCTAACCAATGCTTCCATTAATATTATTGCTGTAGAGTAATGTGGTTTCTTAAAAGTACCTTGAATAATTGAATCTAGAGGTGCTATTAGTGAACACTTTTGGTAGTTATATTTTTCTGATAAACTATATTGTCTTCATGTCTCTCAGTGTATTTAGCAGAAAATATAGAAATATAAATTGACTTTCCTTTTCTTATGAAAATATTTGAAGGTCACATATGATAATGGAATTAAATGATTATATGCAATAAAAAAATGCTCTCCATGATTTTATTGAATGAAATGACAAGTAAATCCAATACTGAAAATGTATATATGCAACATTGAAGGAAGTAAAACAATTTCTATGAGGTGCACAGTGAATATTTAACTGCGATAAACTGCTAACAAAATCAGTATGATCTTAAAATTTAATGGCTAAGATATTGAACTCTTAAGGCTAATCGATATACTATTTCCTCAGGAAAAATATGCCCTTGGAAATTAATTTCTACACATGTAACTAAATTTCTTCATCTGTATAATGGAGTGAAGCTAATTCTTATCTCATTGAGTTGTTCTGAAGATGAGATGTGTAAATGTGTTTGCATATATATATATATATATATATATAAGTATGTGCGTGTGTCATATATATAATATAATCTTGCATGTAATAACGTTATGATTTATTATGGTCATTTAAGATAATTTGGGGGCTCCCAGGTAGCATAGGAGTTAAGGCTCAGTGCTATCACAGCTGTAGCTTGAGTTCAATCCCTGACCAGGTAGCTAACCCCCATATGGAGCAGCAGACCCTTCCTGTCTTGCCCACTGCTCCCCTTAGCAGTGTTGTTTCAGTAAATTCACCTGTTCTACTCCCCAGTCTGTCTCTGGTGAATCCTCTCATCCCCCATTGCTTGGGCCTATATCCCAGTTCTTCTATACAATAAAAAAAATTAAATAAAAGATAATTTTGGAGATAGGTTTATTTTCACATTCATGAGAAACAAACCAGAGCATGAAGTAAAACTGTGTAATTAGAAGAAAGTGAAAATATATCTTGCCATCCATTATTTGACTTTGCTAGTGAGACTGAAGAGACCTGAGGCATTAATATCTGTTTGATTGCAGGCTGATTACTGTTCATTAGTGGAAATCTCAAGACCAGAGAGAAATATTAAAGTTTTCAGCAGTGGGACATTCCAATTTCTTTCAATAAGAATGTGAAATACACTAACCAACCTTTGAGTCTCACTTTCCATATCCTCATTTCAGCAGCAAATTTTATAAGGACTCTAGATCCGATATTTATGCTGATATTTTAAAAATAAAAAAATATTTTCATTAGCATTTACACATGCTTTCCCCTTTCATATGGAGCTAATTTTTACTTATCTTTAAAATGTATCTTACATGCTTTATATTACATTTTCCTGGAAGCCTTTCCTGATAGTTGCTCTCTGATGTGTCCAACTAGTATTTTTAACTTTCTCTTGTCATTTATAGTTTATACTGTACTGGTAATTGTCAGTTTCTTTATCCACATTGCCCTCTACACACACACTCACACATTCAAACATTCATTCATAATTGCACATGCATAAACATTCACACATAGACATGTACACGCACTAGTTCCTCATTTATTCTTAAATAGTATCTTAGCATAGAACCAGTCTTTCTGTACCCAACACTTTTATATTTGTAAAAATGACAATACCTGTGTTATCTTGCTACAGAGACCATATGAAAAAAAGTATATGTATGTTTCTGAGATAAATATTGTTTTAATATTTATTTCAAATTTAACTGTAATTTGAATGATATTTACTATATTTAACAACTGATTATTCTATATATTTTGCTTCTTCTGATACCTCTTTAATAACAATAGAGAGTCTTAGACATGAATGGAAAGGATGTCTTTTCAATGGGCTTCCTTCCCTACAAACCGGCAATGAACCCAGGCACTACATTCTTTTCTGGGTCTACCCACAAATTTATCCCCAACCCCAACATTCAAGCCTGTTCATATCTTCTAGATACATTATCATGTATTTTGATTTCACACTTTAAGAACTTTGGGGAAAAGTGGTGTGAAGTCATGGAAAATAAATAGGTAATTTCTAAGAAGTACCTGATGACTTGTTACAATATTGTTCTAGAATACTGTGTAACCTGGATAATCCTTAATGCAAAATGAGCCCTATTATAAAAACTGTTTTTTCAATTTTCCTATTTAGATGGCATACTAAAAACAAAACATCCAAGTAATTAAGATTTCAATTAATTTAGACTTTGCTTTAAATGTGAGGCTTATGATTATGATTAAAGTGGTTGTACCCAAGTGGAAACATTTGGGGGACTCTCATGCCTTTTCTTTCTGTGTTAGACAGGACTATGAGGAACTGGAAAGGCAGCTGAAAGAAGTGTTTAAGGAAAGAAGCACCATTCTGTATCAGCTGGCAAAGACATCAAGAGAACTTGATGGAATTAAAAGCAACCTTAGGGTAAGATGCAAACTAATATCCCCAGCAGCAAAGGATAAGGAGTCACCTGGTTTGTCTTGTAGATTAATATGCAAAAACTACTCTTTTTTTTTTACCAGTTTTCCATATATTTCTAGGTGTGACCTTGGAAGATACTTATTATCATATAAGCTTTGAAAAGAAATGTCATTTGAAATGCAGCCTGGGAATTTCTGCTTTGCAAATTTACGAATGAGAAAATTATTTGCTTGGCAAAGCCTTCAATTTCTCACAGCTGCTAAGATCAATTTGACCCCTGTGTGTGTTTTTATATTATATAAAATAATAAAAAGTAATTATGACCACTGTTAAGTGAAAATAGGAATGTGAATATAATAATGATCTCTATAAAATGATTTTAAATTCCAAAAAGATTATTTAAGAAAGTCATTACTAAAATGTCTAAATGTATGAGAATTTTGAGTGTCATTTTTTGAACATATTTTAATAGTCAAATCTAAATCAAAAACCAAAGACAAGATTTATATCTGATAAGCAAAATACTGAAATACCTGAGAATATATTTTAATATTTGGCTTACACTTTGTATTTACTGAGGGCATACTATACTCTGTGTTTGAAAGCATAGAGATAGTTCAGAGGCAAATCCGGTATTTGAAACCAAAGCCCAGGCATTTGTTCCAGGTGTGTGTTGAGTTTTGAAAACAAGAAAAAACAGCAACAACAGTGAAATCACCCACCCTAGTGGGACATGGAGAGAGCTAGTTGGATATGATAAACACTGTAGGAGTAACAGTGCTGTATCAGAAATATGCACAGAGCATTAGGAATTCCCTGGCTAGTATGAAAATGGGTTCAGGGCCTCACTGGTGGTGCAAGGGATTAAGCACAGCACAGTGAAGCTATCTGCAGCCTCTGTAGCACAAGTCCGATCCCCAGCCACCCCCTGTACCTCTGGCCTGTACCCCAGGCAATTCTTGTATGCATAAATAAATCTTAAAAAAAAAAGAGAAAATGGGTGCAAATCAATTAGTTTTCATGGAAAGCTGCTGCCTGAGCTCCACCAGATCTTTAGTAGAAATTCATCAAGTATGTGAGAATGCAAAGAATATTCAAGACACCTGCATCTTCTTAGAGGCAGAACACCTGGCACATTGAGACTATTTCAAACATATGGTGAAATGCCCATGAGTGACTGGTGTTTACAGTATTTCTGGGACACACCGTCGTTCTTTACTAGTAGCATAAGACATAAAATCACACTCTAGAAAGTTGCTTGATAAAATGTGTAATTTCACAAAATAACATATTTTTGACAGACTAACAATTCTACCAGTAAGTGTAGCTACAATTCTTCAACTACCCTTTGTTTTTTTTTGTATCAACCATAGTGTATGGTATTTTTCATTCTTTATATTTATTTTTAATTATAACATGTCAATTGTTTACATGTATATGTAATTTCAGGGTTATATTTTTACTCCTTTCTATGTGCACATGTTTCTTAAATCCTCCCAACCTCTCCTCAAAATTATGGTAGTATTTTATTCATTGTAAAATGAGGAAGCCAGACTCAATTATAACAAGTCATAGGAATTAACCAAAGCCATGCATCTAATAAATGGTGGTTCTGGCTCTGCGGGGAAATTAATTGTCAAGGGAAATCCAGGTCTTCTAATTGAATACTTCCTGATCCCCGTATTCATAACTACACTTTGTATTCTGCATCTCTTGTTTGTTGTTTTTATTTTCCTATAACATTTTTTTTTGAGGATGATCCCCTGCCTTTTTATTTTTTTTATTTTTTAAGATTTATTTATTTATTTTTGTATAGATGAATTGGAGTGTAGGCCAATGAATAAATATATTTTTACTGCACTTTTCACCAAGTGCTTTAACATATCCTTTAGCTTCTATGAGTTTTCCAATAACTGTATAAAATAAGCTCTTCAAAATTGTCATTCCTGGAATGCTTAAATTTCCCTGTGAAAATTGGCTGTTTTCAGATTAGCTAGAAAATTTATAAAGGTAGACACCAAGCCTTTGTATGGGTCCTTGCATTATTCATGACAGATATTTGTTAAGTAAATATGAAGTAATAAAATGCTTGCCATTCTTGCTTTTGTCAATTTCCTAGCTGCCACAGCTGTTCTCTATACAAACAATATTATTGACTTTCAGTTTCAAAATTTTTTTAAAGATTTATTTTTATTTATGCATACAAGAACTGGGGTATTGGCCAGAGGAGCAGGGTTTGAGAGGATTCACCATGGACAGAGTAGGAAGCAGAACAGGCGGATCTACTGAAATACACTGCTGAGGGGAGCAGTGGGCAAGACAAGAGAGGTCTGCTGTGCCCTGTGGGTTGCTCCCTGACTGGGGATTGAACTCATGCCGCAGTGGCTGGTAATACCTTGATAGCACTGACTTTAACCCTGTGTCATTATGAAGGTCTCAGTTTCAACTTTTAATATCAAGAAAGATAGGCTACCCTCTTAAACACTTTGTTGAATATAAATAAGACAGTTCTTAGGGAAAGCTTAATAGGACTGATTCTCTAATTTTTTTTAAAGATTTATTTATTTATGCACACAAGAACTGGGGCACAGGCCAGAGGTGTGGGGGGTAAGAGGAGATACCAGAGACAGAGTGGGGAACAGAACAGCCAGATCAACTGAAACACACTGCCGAGGGGAGTAGCGGGCAAGTCAGGAGAGGTCTGCTGTGCCATGTGGGTAGCTCCCTGGCCGGGGATTGAACTCCTGCTGCAGTGGCTGTGGACAACTTCAGAGTTTGTGTCTCAACCCCCACACCACCAGGGAGGCGCACTACTGATTCTCTAATGAGAAAAACTCCATGAACTTTTCTGTTTTACTGGTCTGCCAATTCTCAATTTGCCCGAGTAAATAAATACTAATGACTGAGGTGATGTACTTTTTTCCCTTTAATATTCCATCTACACAGTCTGTTACAGTTTTACATGGCCTGAGTTTTTCTGTGAATTCTAATGCATTATTCATACCTAATAAATAGACAGGACCAAAGAGATGCATGCTGTTTGACTGCTTTGATCTCGAATTGTGTTACTGCTTAGCATATTCTACTCAGAGAGGACGTTTATATCCCCCTGTATTTGCAGAAACTATGCCAGAGCAGGTTTAACATGGCTAAAAAGAACAGAGTAAAACTTCAAGTGGAAAGTAGAAAATCTTTTGTATTCTCTTACAAAGACTTCTAGATTTTTGGACAGCGCATTCTCCTCCATGGAGCCTCTGGAAGCTGAGGCTGAGCTCATTGCTTTTCACACACCATGGAGCAAAAGTGCTAGCTGTGATTACCATCATCCTTTGGGCATCCTTAGGGCCCTGGGAGCACCGTGGCCCTATTTGTACATTCTTGTTCCAGGGCGACCCTGAAGCCACATCTTGTACCTTAGAACCAAAAGTGAGCCTCAGGTTATCAATTAAGTAAGACTTCCTTTTATCTACTTTTCTTATCAGTCTTTGAAAAGTGAAGAGAAATTTGCCAAAAGTAATGTTGAGAAGCTTCTGGAAATAGGTGAGAGACAAAGGTAAGACTGTATTTTCCTTTTATTTTCTCGTTCTTTTTTCCTAAAGTGGTCAGACTTTAAAAAACTGTTAAAAAATTTACAGACATGATACTATCAATATGTAGTCCCTTTTCCATCTTGTACCTTTTCCTCTGTCCCAGAGACCTCTATCAGTATTAATATTATATTTTATTTGTTTGTTATATTAGTATAATAATTCAAGATATCATTATTGATATTAATTATAATTGATCAATACATATTACTTGTTGAACATGAAATACTCTTCTAAGTTCAATAATAAAAAGTGCATGTCTAAAATATCATTCTGACATATTTTTAAAAGTACATCATTTTAAATTATTTTATTCCCTTGAAATAAGACACCTGTTATGTACAAATATTTGTGGCTCACAGAATTAATGTTAAAGTATTACAAACAATATTTTCATAGGCATAACTGGTTAAAGAAGGAATGCTGAAAATAGTTACTCTTCCATAGAGCATTCCATGTTGAAAAAGAATAAACAAAAACATAAAACTAGATACAACTGCACAATACATGTCCATCACTCAGTGAGATGGTGAAGGAGACAGTCATGAATATCAGAAAATAAAGCTGTGTGCTACCACAGGAGACAGAAACTCTCAAATGTTGGGCTAGACTGTCGTATTTGTATTTATTGAGTGATGGTTTTCCAGGCATTGTACTAAGCATAGATTTCATTGTCCATTTGAATATTAAGATGACTTGCCTACATAGCATCACTGAAATCTGACTACAATCCCGTGAGGTAGTTCTGTCATTGTGCCCATTTTATATGAGGAAAAAAAAATGAGTCTGCAAGAATGTCTCCTATCCCCTACTCTTTATTTTGTAACTACTATTTTGTAACTCTCTATTTTGTCCAGTAGGGTTCCCAAGATATTTTTTTTTTCTTTTTTGGTATTAAGTTGGGGATTTTAAATTAGTTTGTTAAGACTGGAAAAGTTGTCCACTTATTGCTGTTTCATTGAATAAGTTTATTTCTTACCCAAAATTTGTATTCTCTCTCTCTCTCTCTCTCTCTTTCTCTCTCTCTCTCTCTCTCTCTCTCTCTCTTTTGCCCACCCTCTCTCTCATTCACACACACACACATTCATATCCTCACCCTTAGCTGATATCTGAATTGTTTTGTAGGGATAGCTTAGTGATAAAATTAAGACACAGAAAGATGTGATTTGCATCAATCCTGCACCCTTGAGGGAAATGCACATTTATGGAACTATTTTAATGCTTAGGAAGTGAGACAGGGCCCATATGTATCAGTGAGCTTGAAACATGGCATGAGTGTATATATGCAGACATAGATTTCTTTTATTATCCTAAATAAATTAGGCAGCCCTCGAGATTGAAAGAAGTCTCTTTTCTCTGTTTTTACAAAAAGGCTCAGGCTTTATAAAGGATGTCTGACACATAATGCATTAAAATTAATCAATTAGGGACACTGGCAGGGAATAGTAATTTCATCCTATCAGTAAGTCTGTGGTGACTTTTTCTAACCAACTTGTTCACACCTTGGCATGCTGTCATTAAAATTAGCTTTGCAACTTGAATTATTATATTGATTTGATTTAGCACATTATGCAGCTCACAGATGACTCACACAGTGGGATTCTTATAAGACACAATAGCAAAGCAATTTCCTCTGAATGCAGGTTGCTTTTAGTACTTGCACAGGAAGAAAGTCCTTTCTATCAGAATCCTGAGATACATCCTGTATGCTTCGCTTGCCTCTGTGCTATTCTCACGATTTTGAAGATGTAGGCAGGCAGGCAGGCAGCAAAACCTTCTTTCATAAAGTACACAGGAAATAATTGAATTATATTATGTCTCTCTTTTGCTCTCGATTTTCTACTAGAGAACAAATGAAGTCTCTCGAGGAGACCCTGCAAAATCAACTTAAAGAGGCAAATGAGAAAGTCGATAAACAACAGACTACTGTAAGTGTGTTTCTTTCTTTGTGTCCTTTTTTTTGGGGGACTGGGAAATTGTTAATTTTCTTTTCCAAAATCACTGTGGAACAAATACATATGTAAAAAGTAAAAAAAATGAGTAATAAAGAAAACCTTAAAATCACTCAGACCTTAAAATCACTCAGTCAGCATACATGGTAAGAAAACACTTTTGTGGTATTTGATTGTTAGGGGTCTTCTAACTCCCAACCCTGATTTATGAGTGAAGAGCTAAGGGTGAGTGTGTGACACAACTGCTGGAATCAGGCCCCACAGCAGTAGCTCTTGATTGTGGGATGTAATTGACTTTGGATGAAATTAAGGTCTGTAATCCCTAAATATGCTTCTCAACTCAAATCTGGCATATAGTAAACACTAAATAAATCAATTTCATCTCTACTACTTCTTAGCTGAGTAAATATAAGAAAGTTATTTTATTTCTCTGAGGCTCTTGTAAAAAGCATATCAGTACTATGTACTACTTTATTTGGTGATTATATGAACTGTTGCAGGTGAAGTCTTATTAGAATGCATAATTAGATGTAAGCAACTTCAAAATTGTATCAAGAGACATCATTACCACTATTACTATGTCATATTTATAATATTTAAATCCTGGGTCTCCCTGATGGCACAGGAATTAAAGTTTCAGCACTATCAAGCTATTGCCAGTGACTGCAGCATAAGTTTGATCCCTGGCCAAGGAGCTAACTGACATGGTGCAGCAGACCTCTCCTGTCTCTCCTGCTGCTCTCCTCAGCAGTGTATTTCAGTAGATATACCTGTTCTGTTTTCTACTCTCTCTCTGGTGAATCCTGTCAGCACCCCCCCCCGCCCCAGTTCTTGTATGCATAAATAAATTTTAAAAATTTATATTCTTTTTTATCCCTTAATATCATAGTTAGAATCATCAGGAATGAGAGAAGAATGAGTATCTGAACAAAGGAAACTAAAATGTGATATCTTGTTTTTCATAATTTAGGATGATCTGTTTCTTCATCTCTATTTATATTGCTGCTCAAAATAATTTTGTTTTGCCATCTATGAATACTATGACATGAATTACCATCTGCTCTGAAAAGTTGACTTGGTTTGAGACTTACTTCAAGTTCCTAGAGAGTTAGAAACATTTTCTTTGTGGGAATCAGAGGTTTTACCTAGCAGTTATCCAGGCTAAGCTTGGCTTCATTTTCACTCTTATTAATATTTACTAGATAATTGAGATAACCTTTTTAATGTTAGCTTGCATTTTAGTAACTGCAGTCTCACATTCTTCCTTTTATTTATTATTATTTTCAATTTAGCTTGTTTAGTATTTTCAAAATCATATACCTACATATTAACTCTTATATATAAGTATATGACTACATATGTACATGTAGGGGTGCACTGATGAGTGTGTGTATAAATGTGGACAGAGAGAAAAAAGAGAGAGGCAAAATATATTTCGGCACAGGATTCTCCTTTATTCCTTTTTCTTTTGTAGAAATTTAATTTTTTAGAAACAGAAAAAATGGCATTTCATGTGGAAACTTTCAATTAGAAATGAAAATATTGATTTAAGTAATGTCTAAAAGGTATACCTAAATCCTCTCTTGAAATTAACAAATGAACACACCTGTTCCCCCATCTGATGGGCAAATTAGAAAATGTATACATTTCTATAGGAAGACTCACAGTAGAGACCACAACCTCCAAATGACAAACTTCAAAACAGGTCTTTGCTGAGTGGGCCCAGGATGTGAATGAGAAGGGACTACTTAGATCTCTGGTCTTGGCTACAAGAAGATATAAAAAGAGATGAGAGAATGGGGAATGAAGAATAGATGAGAGTAAATTTCAGACAGCTTTCAAGTCCGAAGCCTTGTTTTTCCAGTGGGAACCTCACCTTATATGGTTGCAGAAAATGATCCACTTGTGATATTCTGGGACAAAAGGCAGATAAAACTTTCAATCACTTCTGGTCAGAACACAATAGCCCTTTATTCCTACACCAGTGAAGTGAACATCAACTCTAGGAAATAGACTGGTTATCCCTTTCTTACACAGATTATTTGGACAACTGACTGAGAAATTTCTGAGCCATTCTACAGAGCACAGCAACTCCACTCTTCCCTTCCTGGCTTCCATAGATTTAGTACCCTCAAATGTGGGATCCTCCTATTTGCTTATGTAATAACATACCAGTTATTATCATGCCACTTGTGTTATGATTTCATCATAATGCCTTCCATTAAGGGAAGTAAGAGAATGGGTATAGTTTTAAAAATCTGCTACTAAAACCAAGATTTTTTTTTTGGTGGGACCCTCGCTGGCGGCCGGGGATCGAACCAGCACTGCAGAGGCTGCAGGAAGCCTCGCAGCCCAGCGCTCAACCACTGCGCCACCAGGGCAGGCCCAAAACCAAGATATTTTTAATACTAGTCAAAACATAAAAAAGTAACTGATGGTAAAATAAGCAGAAATTCAATCATCTCTAGTAATGCTCTTTAAATAATTAACAAGCTGGTAGCTTATAATAATCTATTAAAAAAAAAATGTCAACCAAACCAAAATATCAAGTAGTTTCATTTTGGCATCTCCTCTCTAGAAAATTTATATATGTTCACTTGTTTTCCAATCTTTTTTATAAATGGGAGTTAAAAATACTCCTCAAATTTTCTTCACCATACCTAAGTCTCCCACAACTACTAGAACAGTGTTGTGTAGAAATATATTATAATCAGGAAAGTGGCCATAAAAGAGGACCAGAAGGGAGGGAAGCGCAGAACCCTGCTCCCCTCCCCCGCCCACAGAGGCGGCACTCTCCCACCGGCAGAGAGGAGGAAACAACAAACCAAAACGGCCCACAAGAACAAACGACGCAGCAAGCAGGACTGTGAGTGGAAAGGAACTATTGCAGCCACCACACCCCGTGAACGGGAGCTGAGGCGAACCCTGCAGGATCCGCCGCGGAGGTGAGCGAACGGCTCCTGGCGCCATTAGAGAAGAACAAAGACTCCGGGAGACGCGCACACAGCCCAGGCTGTGGGTAAGCTGGCGCGGGAAAGCAGCGCGCTCTGAGAGCTTGAAAAGCAAGTGCAGACCTGGATCACGGCTGCCCAGGTCCCCGCACCTGCGACCTAGGCTTGGGAGACGACCTAGGCTTGCGGGGAGACGCGCGGAGGTCCTCACTGAGGTGAAGGTCCCTCCCTGAGTGAGCAGGAACCAGGCGCCCAGGCACGGGAGCTGTGCAAAAGGCGCCATTCCCGCGCCACTAAACTGGGCTACAGCCCGCGTCCTGGACCTGAGGGCTTTGAACTGAGACCCGGGGCACGAAAATTCGGGGCGTGGCTTCTCCACGACGGTGGGGCACAAGGCAGACACAGCACCCCAAAGCTGTTGAGGTGTACCCTACCATTCCCGCTCTGTTCTCTGTCCCACGGGGTGGGGGGAGGCGAAAAACAGCCCCCCAAGGCCAATAGGAGAGATCTCTGGCGCCACCTAGCGACCAGGAAAAAAAAAGTCACTAACACCCTATAAAACAGGACATTTCTTAAGACTGCTTGAAAAGGGCAGAAGGTTTCTGGAGGACCCAGTGGCCAGCCGGGAAGTTATTCCACGCCAGGCCCCTTCCGACCAGCAGTCTGAGCCCACAGAGGGAGCAGGCACCCACGACCGGGGCAGACCGGGGGCGCAGAAGAGTGTGCCTGAAAACGGAGGCGCAGGGACTGCATCCCGCTTCGCCATTTGAGAACAGGGACATTTCTTCAGTAAAAACTGCCTAAAACCAGCAGAAAGCTCCCCCAGAAGACAGAGATGGCTCCTGGAAGAGCCAGAGGGGGCGGAGAAGTTCACCCAAGATGTCAGTCAGTCCGAGCAACACAGTGTCCCAACGCATACGACAAATTAGAAAACAGACAGTAGGGAGTAGAAGAACCACACAACCTAACAACTCCTCAGGAAAGAAGCACACCACAAAAAGAAAACCACTCCCCAGATTGCAACGACAGCAACTTGGAAGAACTTCTGAGCCTTCCAGAAAGAGAATTTAAAATTGCCATGATTAAAAAAGTGATAGATCAGAAGAAGGAAATTGAGTCCCTAAAGAGGGAAGTAAGAGAAATGCAGGAGATCAAAGAATTAATGGAGGAACTAAAGAACTCTGGGAAAAGCAATGAAAGCAGAATAGATGAAATGGAAGAACGAATAAGTAATCTTGAAGACACAGAAATAAAAAGAACCAAAACAGAAAAGGAAAGAGAAGTACGAAGGAAAAAGAATGAAGAAAGACTTCGGGAACTATCTGACTCCATGAGGAAAGGAAATATAAGAGTTATAGGAATTCCAGAAGGAGAGGAGAGAGATGTAGGAACAGAGAAAATATTCATGGATATAATTGAAGAGAACTTCCCAAATGAGAAGAAGGAGCTGAAAATTGATATACAAGAAGCAAGAAGAACACCAAACTTCCACGACGAAAGGAAAAACACAGCAAGACACATAATAGTAAAGCTCCCAAGAATCCAGGACAAGGAAAAAATAATGAAGCTGACAAGAGGGAAGAAACAGATAACATTCAAAGGAAAACCAATCAGGCTGACATCAGACTTCTCTGAAGAAACACTACGGGCAAGGAGAGAGTGGAGGGACATAGTCAACAGACTCCAAGAAAACAGATGCCAACCAAGAATACTCTATCCCGCAAAGCTCTCTTTCCTCCATGAAGAAAGAATATGGACCTTCCCAGACAAAGAGAAACTCCGGAAGTTCATTGCGACTAAACCCCCACTCCAAAAAATACTACAAGGAATCCTAAAGCCAGAACCTCAGAGGGACGAATAACAACGAAAGAAGACCAAAAAAAAAAAAAAGTTATTAAAAGAATAAATAAATAAAATCAAAGGAAAGACAAACATAATGGCAAATACAGATGCTAACATATCAATATTAACTCTAAATGTAAATGGACTAAACTCTTCAATAAAAAGACACAGAGTTGCAGCCTG